ACTTGCAACATGGAGCTTGTCAAAGTACTTACATATCTATTAAAGGTTCTAAAAAAAATAACTTGTAATTTGATACTCATGTCGTATTACTCAAATGATATTGGTCTAAATTGGTCATCTCGGCTCCTAATCTAACTAAATTTTATAGATCTCCATCTCATTCAAATTTACATAAAAAAATTTAAAATTATAATATGTAAATTTTTTTGTCCATTGCTTTTTTTTTTATGAAAAGATCAAAATGAAAGATAACTTTATTTTTTCTAGTTTATTAGTTTTTTTTAAACATCAAATTATTTGATTGGAATTTCCAAATCCAATTTTTTTAAAAATGTACATTTCATTTTATCTTATAATGAAATCTAACCTCATTACATTTTAGTTTTGTATTTTGCTCAGAAAATTTTCAAAAATTTCCAAATTAATCCAAAAATATAATACAAATTTATAAAACATATTGTCATATTGAATATATTTTTTCAACAAATATTTAGTTTAATGCGATAATTATTTGTATGAAAATATTAACTTTAAAAAATTTAATTAATGATTTAATTATACAATTGTAAGTTATATAAATATCAACTAATTTTTTGAATTTTATGTTTATTGATTTTAAGTGTTCAGTAATGATCAAAAAATATAAATTTTTTTAATTTATTATAATTTTTTCATCAAAAGTAAGATATTCTTATTATCACTTTGAATAATAAATTCGTTGATTTTAAAACTAATTACGTGCACATTAAATAAAAATCAAATTTATATATATGATTGAGTTTCATATAAATTTATTTTTATGCTTCCTATAAGTAAATATGCTCAAATAACTTGGATTATAGTAAAACAAGCACTTGCTGAGAATTTTTAGTAAATCATATTCAACTTTATTCACATAAAATAGTATTTTTGTTGTTGTTGTATGTGAATATATTTTTCAATTTCCAAGTCAAATGCAATTTTTTTCAAGTTTATTTTTCATGATACGAGGTTAAAAATATTAATTATATGGTCAAAATATGTACATACATGCAAATGAATACCTTATAAAATTGTGCGAATTCTTTATTAATATGATTAAAATATTTGAATAATATTTAAAAATGTATAATATAATTTTGTTATCTATAATTATTTTATTGTGTTATAATACATCTTGATTTAATTTCAAAATTAAAATTTGACGAAATTTGAATATTATGCATTGAATTCATTTGTTGTATTCAAAATCTTATGAAAATATTTTTTATTTGAATGTCCAATATATACATATATCTATCTATACATCTGTACATATTAACAAATTTACGAAAATTAATTTCAATAAATTTACGATACAAATATTCAATCTATAACATTTGGTTTGATGAAATTATTTGTGCTGTAGAGAATTTTAGGTTGAAACCATAATTAGAAGAAGAGAAGAAAATGATTAATTTATTTTTTTAAGAGCTATTAGTATCTACTGTAAAATCCAAGTGTTACTACTTGGATTTTGCAATCACATCAAGATATATCTTACAAATTAACAAGTTTGATTGCATAATGGTAGACAAGTGATCCATTTGTACATTCCAGATTACAATTACTGCTTGAATACTTTTGATGCGTTTTGTGAATCTCATTCATTGGAGGATAAAATTACTCATGTAGCATCCAACAAACAAACCATCAAGTCAAGAAATATGAAGGCATTCATGTTACACTATTTGATGCTTAGGGAATGTATAATGTATATATACACATATAGAAATGGTAAATGTTCGTAAGCGGCGACTAAGAAGTTTTCGCTCAGCAGACATTGTGTCAGTGCCCAAGAATTTGGAAACAAGGTGAAGTGCATTGCCTTGCAGAGGAATTTGAAGGAACAGAGTTTCTGTACAGAAATGTATGGAAATCAGGAAACATCCCGAGAGGAGGGCAATGTAGTCTCTTTCGTTATATTTTGTACATTACAGAGTCGAAACAGAGAATTTAGTTCCAATGAAGGGTGTTAAAGTTCAATGATACTTACAGAGCTCTATGATTCTGTTGCATGTTTTCGAAGGGCCTAACGTTTTGTATCATTGTGATTACTTAGAGTTACTTGTGACTCTTGCAAGCACCACATTCTGCACTGAGTAGATGAAAACCTTGTCCATTGAGTAGATATTGTTTGAAATCCCCAAAGAAGAGTTTTCTTAGGAGTAGCATTTACTGTCTATCAGCAGATAAATAGAACTGATAAAGATGATATGATGATATATACCTGTCTCTGATCTTGCAGATATATATAAAAGTACGAGGTATTGCTCTGATTATATAAATTGATCAGACTCACCTTCTTAAACGCATGCGAAGAGATGAGGCTTGAAAAGCCAGAATGGCATCGACTAATAGCTTATTAGCTCTGAGTTCACTGCCATTCAACCTGCGGAAAGTCCGCACAAAGGTGGCTATGGAGCTAGATAGAAATTTCAGCTTGATTTCCACCAAGATTTATGCGCTTCGATCAGATTCCCGGAAGATATCTATTCTGCACCATCCACTGTCCTTTCGAGATTCTGCTCATTTACACAGGCAACATCGTATAATTCGCTCTGTATCTGTTGTGTTGCGGTGTTCAGGAGATTGCGGACTAGAGCCTACTTTTGACAACACCAAACAAACACTCAGAACATGTGAGTGTGCGGCATATCTCTTCGTCTCCATCTAAATCACAAACACTGCATCTTTGGTAGATAGTTTCTAAACGCCAAGTGTTGATTTCACACGCTCAACAATTAAAGATTGATCATGTGTAACGAACACATTCAATTTGGGATTTATGACACAGTCAAATTGTTGTTTTAATAATCCCGCTTATCATTATTACTTTTTCTCTACTATTCGAGCTCCAACCCTAAACTGATATAAAAAGTATTATCTAAAATTTATAAAAACTACATATATTTTGTGTCATCATGCTTATAATTTCATTGATATTCTGTTAACTTATGTACTAATCTATTTAGAGTTTGAATTATCGAAGTTTGATGACGTGGATATCACATTTATTATTTGATTGGTTAAACTTGAAGTAATATGTATTTAAAATTAATAAAAAAAATTACAATGAAATTTGAAAAAAATACTGTTAATCATTTGTGTGACTGACAGATAAATCATATGTATCAATCAATTATTTGTAAACAAATATTTGTCATATTATCAAGTTTTTAGAATTGAAATGGATGGTGGAGATAAATTTTTAAGATCTAACTATTGTTATGTTAAACATTTTTTTTCAATATTAAAATGTGTCATTCATCTCTAAATGAATGTTTTTTTATTTATATTTTTTTAACAGTATTGAATTTATTTTGATACTTTGTTTATTGTTATTAAGCTCATGAAATAGAAAGAAAAAAACGTTGAAGCTTAATTTTTGAAAATATTAGAAACCAAAATATACTATTCGTCTCTATGTTTAAACATCGAATAGACATTGCATTCAATATACTAAATATTAAATTAATCTATAGTTTAAAATGAAACATTTTTGTTAGGTCACAAAATATAAAACAAGTCGAGGAATTGAGATTTTAGATTGTTGGATCCGATGATGAACATATATCATATTTTAATGTCTTTGATATTATTATATGAATATACTTGATGCTTTATCTCACCGAGGAAGTCTCACATAATTCATTACATATAATCTATGATTTCAAAACGAAATGCTTATATTTCATGGCATAGAATATGAAAATGATGAGTTTGTTTCCAAAATCATCAAGCTATTAATTTGTTTTAAATTACAAAAATAAAATAATGAGATTTTGATATTCACGAACAATTATTGAAAGATTCAGACGTAAAGAGATGATAGCAAGTTTTACATTTTTTATGGATTTAAGCTATATTCAATGTTCATTTCGCTTAAAGCCTATAATTTGTAACATAATTGAAGTACAGTATGTTATGCATCATTAGAAATATCAGTTTTAGGATTTTAAAACAGATTTGTTGACTGTAGTTTTCAATAGTGTAAGACGTGTATGCATATAATAAAATAACATTAAGAAATTTGATAATTTGTATAAATAATCAATAAAATGCATGCAAAATATGCATATTATCCAAGAATTTAATATTAAAAAGATAAGGAACTATATATTGAATTGAGTCATAATTTATCACCATAATACATATTTTTGACAACAATAAGGATTATTTCATATTTTGGCTTCTTTTTATAAGAAGATGTCATCATTATATAGAAATCAATTAAGAACACTGAGCCTAGGAATATAACCACTTTTGATGAAAAAAAAGTCAAAACTTGAAGTGTTTATATATAATTTTATCTTGATATATCGTATAAATATAAATAAAAAAATAAGTAAATATATACATACATGAAACCTATTTCATCACAATAACACTGGAGCTATCTTCTGGTTTTTACTTGGCTTTCCTTGTTTATCTTTTTGTGATAATTACATCATTGTTAAATACACGTATGTCCTTACCTCTTTTAAGCTTTGTGTTAAATGATTCAATGATCTATTCGTTGGAAGTATTGTCAGTAATTGAGAACTTGACTTTAGTTGCTTTGCATGGAAGTAAGCTAAGAAGACTGAGTCAAAGAAAGGAGGAAAAATTCGGCGGTATCTTGCAACAATAAAACTTGTATGCAATCGTAAGAACACTCATCGATGGAGTGATACGCACTTATAGGAGATTCAAAGTGTCACAATCACATGCAATTTAAAAATACATGGGACAAAGTACTATCCATAAAATATAGAAAGACCCAACAAGCCTACAAAAATAAAACGATACGTTAGTCGGTACCAGAACTCAAGAATATAACAACTGGAAACATGTGACATAAAATTTTAAAGATCTGAATTTTGAATATGTTGAAACGGCTTAAAAAACTGATGTAGGGTGATTAAAATAACTTTAGCACTAGACAATTCTCTGATTAAAACAATGAAACACAATATACACAACAGTGTAAGAAAATGACACCCCATCAGGTTAATATTGTACAACTTTTTTCTCTAGGAAATATTTAGTCTCAGCATGACTGGACTAGTCAAGTGGAAAACGACGTGGTAGTCTCACAATCTTCTTTCTGCTGTCTTTGAGCAATCGGGCAGCAGCACCAGTCACCGACTCTTAGACAAGCAGTCCACTCCAACAGTGAGTCAATTGTCGCAACTAATGCGCTTGGTCATACGCCCTTTCGTTCTTGATACGTACTTCTTCTAACTTTTAAACATTCTATATTAGCCTGGAAACCCATTCTATCAGTGGAACCAAGTGTTTATGCGGTCAACAAGCCCTACCCTGGCAATGAAAGCTTAAGCGAAGTGCAATTATAACGCAATAAGAGTTGATTATTGAGATAAATATTGGTGCATATATTTGTTCCCTCCTTCGTCCAACAGATCAGCGCAAAAGCCACACTCCAAACATGCTTCATGCCCCATAATCTTCTCCGCCGAAACCTGTGCTGCCATTACTATCACACATGCCAATCTCACTCACGGCCTTCGCTCGTTTCTCGGCATAACCTGTGATTTGAACTCATGAGAACTGACAAGATTTGGGGCTGTGTTTTGCTCCCACAGACTATTCACACGAACACTGCCAGTCCTGGTCGAACTGTGGTGTAGTGGCAGGTACTGATGTGGAGTCACTCAATGTTGACATCCAATATGGCTGAGGTGGGTTCGTACCGATTTTAAAGAATGATCTAAACCTCGTGTGTGATAGATCGCTATGACCAGGTCCTCAACTTTCTACCAGCACCAAGAATGCTCGGTCCGGCTACCTACGTCTAAACCTCTGGCAGGCTCCAAGCCCAATATCATATTTGGGTTCCAGGCCTTCTCCCTGTCCGGTCTCCAGAGGAACCGAGGACGAATCGAAGTTGTACATCTCGACCTTCTTCTCTCTCCTTTTACGTTCTCCGCCACCTTTTCCCGCTATGGCAAGAACCAGAAGCTTCACGGCATACGACTCTTGAACCTCGCAAAACCTGATACACAGTGGTCGGCTTCTCCCTGCTCGATGGAATTCACGAACCCCAAGAGGAGGCCGACTCGTCCCTGAGTTCGGTCATTATCTGGATACCGTCGCTCCACCTTTTCTATGTCCCACCGATTCAACAGCCACCTCAATTGTCGGGAGGGAGATGGATTACCGATGCTCTCTCATCCAGCCTGACCCGCGGCACATTCATTTTCCATTCCATCGATGTAAGCACTTCCGGCGCAGCTTTCAGCGTAACGAACTTACCGGTGATCGGAAATAGTCGTCAAGGATGGCGTCACGATCGATAACCCAGCTCATTACCAGCTGCTGCGCGGCCCGACGCCCTTTCTAACGCTAGCGCTAAAGTGTACCGCCCACTCGTCCTGGTCTCCAGAACGCAGTTCCAGTATGCAGTTTCCTGTACGCCGTAAGGTTCTTCGTTCCGTGTGCTGGCTTGTCGGTTTACGCAGTTTTTAAACTAGGGCTACCCATATATAATACGTATTATTATTTACTGTGGTTTGCTTTTGGATTGAATCCAGTTTTTGGGAATGTTCAGAGGCTTTCGATTTGCAGCCCGTTGTCAGTCTGCTGTCAATCGCAAGTGGTACTGTGCACAGCAACAAAGGCTGCAACGCAGTGTGTCAACTTTGCGTCCACCAATCGGAGTACCACGTTACGATCTGGTTGGGGTTCGCGAGCTAACCACATTCGCTGAAGGGAGAGAGGGAGGGAGAGAGGGACGGACGGACGGACGGACGCGGGAAGGAGGAGGTCGCATCTTAGGCTCGTGGTTTGTGGTCTTCCAGAAAACGAGGGCGAGAGGGAGAGCTGTGCTTTTGCCATCCGTCATGATTCTGATCCTGTTCATGTGATCCTGATGCCCTAGTGCCTCGATGGCAGCCCGTAACACCTGGAGAGAGAGATATAGCGAGAAAGCGTACAACGAATCTCCTCCTCAAATTTTCGTCATTTGGTTGCCTCTTTACCCTGGAAATGATTATTGATGGTAAAATGTGTCGTACAACTACGGCTGTATAGATTGTGATGCCCCGGGCCTTTTATTGATCTTTCTATTGTCCCTTACCCTACTGTACCTCAGAAGCTAGAATTCATGTAGGTATTACTTTCCCCCGAACTGTTGTGAGGAAAAGTGGAGCATGTTGACATTAAAACCTCCAATAAGTGTACACAACATAAAATTCCACATAGAATGTCTGCTTCGATGATGTCCTACAAAGTAATTTCTATCCACCGGTTTGATGCCTAAATGTTCACCATCATCAGGTATTATAAAAGGCGATGCACACCATTCATCCCTGAGCAATCTTGTGAAGACAAAAATATGCATATATGATTTTATATAGGATATAAAATTCTTATAACATAAAAATTATAATATAACTGTGAAGACAAAAATATGCATCTGTGATTTTTTAAATTATGTAAAATTCTTATATCATACCTGTTTTTTCTTATTTTTTTGGTTGAGCTGATTGATGTCGTTGCAAGAATGTTTCAATATGTTACATGGGTATAACATGTTACCTGGTAACATGTTATACCCATGTTATATGCGAAGAACACAATTTAACTCAAATAATAAACATCATTCACCGCCTTAAATCTAGTGATACCAATACCCTGCACGCTTGATACAGATGAAGGCAAGAACTACATGCCCAATTAAGACACAGATTGGTATCAGTTGTAAGATCTTCACTCCATAATTCATATTAATCAGAAATCTCATGCCACCGAGGGCGATAACGTTGATGTTTTGTACTCGGAAGCAACAAGTGCGTGCCGACGAGTACATATACTGAACTGAACTGAATAAGTTGAACTCATTCAGTTCAGTTCAGTTCAGTTCAAGGCAATGATTCATACACTGCACTCATGCTTTATCAACCATGACGAACATAATTCACGAGAATGTTTCCGTGAATTATGTCACAAGATCAAAGAAGTCGAAAAAATTGTTTATCTTTCCTGGTAAGCCAAGAAGCCAATATTCATTACCCTTGCAAGATCATCCTCATTGAAGCCTTACGAAATTTGGTAGTGTAAAACCAACATGGGAAATAGAAGAAGGGAGGATAGAATGGAGATCCAGTTTCAATAACGTATTCAAATGTCACACTGACTTGTGAATTTGTGAATGAAACTCACAAAATCACATCTGAACACAGTTTTCTGCGAACACATTGTCGATATCCGTGTGCAGCCCTTGGTACAGTTGTTAGGGCCAGATTTAGAGCGACCTTTGTTGTCGCTATAGGCCAAGTCAGTGTACCCCCTTAGCAGAACAGATCTTTCGCACCCACTTGATGGCTTTATTCATCAGATAACTGCAGATTTACGTTTCTTCTGCCCCGTCGGTCATTTATTGCCATGATCTGTTTCATTCATTTGAGGAAGCATCAGAAACTAGGAGGACTTTAAAGCAAATCTGTCGAAACGCAAACATACGAAGAAAGAAAGTCAATTTTGAGCTAATGTTGAAAGAAAGCACACTGTTGCAGGAATAGCAGTGGGAGTTTTCTCCTGAAAAGTCGATGAGTATTTTATCCATTGGTGTCGCAAACATGATCGATGAGGACGATAGGGCTAGCGTGGGATCATCGTGTCGTGGGACGCGCAGCAGATTTGGGATTTCTCACAAACATGGCCTGCTTTTTTTAGGTTCCCGTGGTTGAAACTTTTGGCGGACGATTAGACCCTGATTGGAACTTGCTGAATTCCCAGCTCCCCGACGGTGATTAGAGTGAGAAAACCTTCCGATTCCGTTTGTCGCGCAGAACCTCGGTTACTGCACTTCGCGTGTTACTATACACTTTCGAATAAGCCTGGAGTCAGAAAAGTTACCAATCAAGAGTAAAAGAATCTGCTCTACCTCCTCTTACCACCTTCGGTAAAGTTGTCATTTCGAGTTCTGATCGAAGTATGGTCCCGTCTTTGAAATCAACAATGTCTCCAGTACGAATCATAGTCCGTTGCACAGTGTACGTCATTGTCTCGTAAGGAGGGAGAGAGAGCCTGCGGGAAATGAATGAAAAATCGTGAGTTCGGTTCGACATAAACTATTAGCAGGAGAAACAAACAAGGACATTTTCCAAATACAGACTTCTGGATTACCTCGGGTTTGTACCTTCACATGGCTTCAAGGTTTTTTTGCTCTCGATTCGTTCTCCCCACTGCTGAACCTCAGATGGAAATGCTGTTGGTTTCTTGACTTTTGGGCTGGCATGGAGCGAGCTTGTATTTGCATGTGGCGCATCCGGATGTTTTGACTTTCGTCTTGTGAATGAGGAAAGGAAACTGAACGAATGCGATTTCCGCCTCTTGTCGTCTTCACCTTCGAGTGTGTCTCCCAGTGAATGGGCGATGTTTTACGGCGTAATAATTACCGCGAAGATCTGGTCTCGCACATAGTAAAGCCAAAGGCTTCTCACGGGCCCCACAGCATCATGACCTATGAGTTGAATATGAACCTGTTTTATGTGTGATTCTGAATTTAGTTGGTTTGGTGCTTTTGGTCGTTAGGATTGACGAGAGCTTGAACAAGAGAAGGTCCGGAAGACTCCGGGACAGTGTCAACTTTTTCCCCTCAAAGCAGATCCTATTTTCGTAGACCTCCAAGGCCTCACATGTAGGTTCGCCTCTCGTCTCTCGGTCGGTCTCCTCTCGATTTTTCTTCGGAGAACAGTCCCGTCCGAGAAGATAAAATTGATTGGAAGAGGCTTGGCAATGATTGACTAATTCATGATATCATCACCTGTAGGTATATTTTCCCCCGGAGCGCCTACAGCTTTGAAAGCTGAAGGCGAACACTGTTAACCCTCAGGGAAAGAATGGAGAGCGGGGAGTGAGGGAGAAAAGAAGGCAAGAATGAGAGCCGCTTCTTGTCGTTACACCAAAGTCCACTACGTTCTTACAAGGCATGGAGACAGTAATCTTTCTGCAAGTGTTGTGGGCGTTCAGCCCATGTTTTCCTAGGTTATGGAGGACTGGCGAACGATTTGCGATCGGCAGAGGGGGTGGTGTACGCTGCGATCAGCGGATCCCATGTGCAAATTGGGGGACAAACACGATGAAAAGCTGTAGCAGAGCCCATTTCCGAAGGTTTTTTTTTCCTCTTCGTGCACATGTCTGGCCATGTTTCGTTCGTCATGGGCAAACGTGGTCCTCGACTCTAACCACGCTGGTCTCTCCGGCTGCTATATTTGGTCGACCGGGGGTCACTCCATTGGTTCCAACTGTTCGCGGACCGAGTGAAGGATGAGACCTGGGTAAGTCGTTTGTCCCCACGCTCCGTAAGCGCTTCTCCGTCCTTCAGGATCCGACTTCGTCAGTACTGTACTGACCGAGCGTAGGTCACCAGCATCTTTGTATGTTGATTTAGTAAATTGTCGTTCAAATCGAGAATCTGACACCATTTTACTTAGTGACAAATTGAGGAATTGCTGCTGATCCGGAGATGTCGGCATTTAAATTTAGAACATTTTGGGGACAGGGAAGAACACCTACGAGCCACGTCATCGTGATGGGATGTCCGAGTTGGAGGTGAATGTTGGGAGGGCGTATGGATGGTCACCACGTGGGGGAATCTGCTGGCCTTACGAGGACGTGGAACGCCGGCTCCCGGGAGGCGGGCGGAAAATTACCTTGGGACGACGGGATGAAAATTCCAGTCGGCGCCCGAGGTCGACCACGTGGCTCATCGTTTGCGCGCTGCTCGACGTTCTCCCGTCCGTCGTCCGTCGGTCGTCTGCCCAGCTGCCCCTGTCTGGCCCGCCTGCCTGCCTGCCTGCCTGCCTGCCTGCCCGTCCGTCCGCCCGCCCGCCCGCAGGCCCGCGCTGCAGCATTTGTGGCCATCCCCATCATTCGTCTTCGTCTCTTGTCCATCGAGTCCATTTTCCACGGATCCGCTGCACTCTCTTTTGTTGTCCATTTGCTTGACGGGCCAACTATTTTGCCCACTCCTTTCCTCGGCCTGACAGGAGGAGTGGTAGATTATCGACAGAAATCGGCAGATCTGGCTTCGTGACGTTCTGCCGATTTTGATCTTTGAAAAAAATTTGTGTCATTCCGCCAATCTCGAGGACTTTTGTAAATATTGTTGATGGATGCAGCGCGTTGCGGTTTCGGGGAGAAACGAGGTTGAGGTGTGGAGCTCTCGGGCTCAACCCCCGCGCGTTCTACCCATCTCGGAGGAGTATCTTATGGTTTGCGAGAGTTGCCGCTCTCTTGTTATTCCTGTGACGCTCCACACACGTGTGGGCCTAATGCCATGCACAGATACACGTGCGTTGCAGTAGAGTAGGCTTACAGAGCGGTTCCAATTACCATGATTGATATAGGGCGCGATCTTCAGTTTTGTGGAATAGTGAGTTGGTGTCGAAGTTCGAGGTTGGCATATTTGGATTAAGGCTAGAAAGTCACTGAATCGGCTTTTGGTTGTTTTACCGTGCCCAACAGCAAGATCTGTACTTCTCGTTTCTCTCGCAGATCAACCAGTACCACGATTCCTCCAAACGTTATGCTCGTGAAATCACCTTTTGGTTTACCCTGCCTGACCTGGCGAGGGAGCAGTGTACGTTGTTGATCTCGTTCGGAGCGCGCCAAAACTCGGGGCTTCCCTGTGAGCGCTGGATTCGCTTTGGCTCGACGGAGTGGAAGCCCTGATTCAAATCACAGGGTGTCTTTTATGTGCTTATTTCAACATACTACATTTTGTTTGGAGTGATAGGGGTAGGCATTGTCCACCTTTGCCGCTGCTCAGATTCAGACGGCAAGATTCTGCGGGTTTCTCATCTGAACTTTGAGTGGCAATTTGAATGCGGTAACGAGGGATGGCATTTGCGTCGTCCCCCCATAAAAATGGGACAGGCCTGAACGCTCGCTCGACAGGACGGTTGGACAATAGACCAGGTTCTGTAAATTCCACGATCAAACCAGTGACTCCTCCTGCCCCAGCGACGGCTTCACCCCCTATGCGTCCCAAATCTGCATCTCCATCTTCGTCGGTCAACACAGGAACAAGGCGCGGTTCTGGGAAGAATGGCAGTGACAATGGCGGAGGTGCGTTTCTTCACCAATGTGTGCATCCTGCATGTTTTGGCGCAACTCTCTGCTGTGCGAACTATGCGGTCAAAGTCAGTTCGCTTGTAGCGACCATTTACCGTGGCACGCCTAAACATTGGCCTGCTACGTGGTTCAGAATGTTTGAGTCAGGCCTCTTCGGTTTGCTGGCGGATGTCTGTTGGGAGCTATCTGTAAACATGCCTCATCTGCTTAGCCGCGAGCGCTTTACCTAGGGCATTTCAAAGGAATATGACGAAAAGGAATCGCAACGGAGGAATGTTCGTTTTAAGCTTTTCTGTCTGAGGTTCTCGTCGCCAGGGGCTTTGTTAGAATGGGACCTTTCGGAGGCGGTCCACCCCGGTGGGTGTCACGAACAATGCACTGGACTGGGACACCGGATCCCGAATGAAAGCCGTCATTAGCTTAGACTGCATCTCTGTAGGGACTGCTGGCAGGAGCTCTTGAAACCTCGTTGCACATGATTCATCCTGGGAACTTTTGAAAGGCAGATATCACCACCCTCACCTTGTTTTAAAGAGACTTTCTGCATAGTCGTCATCTGTAATCGGTAATGTCAAATCTTCGTCTCCTCCCGAGGGTCTTACTGCGTCTCCTTTGCAAAATTGTGGCCAGATCTTGTTTCCATTAGTTCTTGTAGGCATTGTCAGTTTCTGGTCTTTACATCCACCCGCTGCAACTGGCTACAAGCTCACATTGTCGACCGTGAAATGGGGAACATTTATGTGTACGGGAGTCACATTGAGTCACACATGATGTGGAGTAGCTGGTATCAGCGAGCAGGTCCCTGATAAATCACATGGTTGCTCACTGCTTAACTTTGCTTGCGTTCGCTGGCGTTTAAGAAGTGATGCCAGTGTAGAGTTGTTGTAAGATTTTCTGCTCGACCTGCGCTTTTACCGTTTGGCAACTGCTGTGGAGATGGTGATGACGGGCGTCTGAATCAGTAGATGTTTTCGCTCGATGGTAACTTGTATCTCTGGAAGTCGATGTTAGCCTTTCGTACTGGTATCAGTCCAGCCCTCTGTTATATTGCGAAAGTCATTGTCCATTTCTTGTCATATTCTCATCATTAGGAAGTGATTGATTGCTTGATCAACGAATTTGTTGTGTAATTTAGGCGATCGCTCTGAGAAATCAATTGCCGCAAGTGTAGGGTCCTCTTACTGGTCTGAAGCATCTATAAATGCCATTTGCGTTTTCGTTAGAGTACATGGTTTTCAAGCTCAGAAGACAGTTGCAACAGTCTGCCTTCTCTAGATTTGGGATAAGCAATTTCCTCGCAACAAAAGTCTATCTCGAGCACTATGTCTTTTGTTCCTTTTCGGGAACAGTCTCAATATGGTACGGTAGCATGGTCTTTGTAACTAAAGGCAGGTGCAGCGGATTGGGGTTTTGGACAGGATTGTGGCCGTACAATTGTCTCAATGAACAACTGAATTTTGGGAGAATATGTACCGCATGGGAGAAACTTATTCTTACTAATTACTTTGCTTGTAGGTAATAGTTTCTATCCACTCTTTACCAGCCACCATATATGCTGTTGAAGCACTTTCAGCATCAGAGCTTACTCGAGTTGGCCACTATCTCGCGTTCATTGTAATCGTCGATTTTGTTAAAAGGGATTGCTTGTCGCGTATTCTCTCTAAATTCCAAAATTTGATTTTATTACTGTGTATTTCGTCTGGTCGAGTGTACTTTGCTCTCCAGAAACTAGTGGTGGCTTAGTTCACTTTCTTGCCTCGTGAATTGCTCCCTCGTTGTACGAGATTGTTGTTGACGGGGACGATACAGACCTTCAGTCTTGATAGCCAAATCGCATGTATTCATGATTAAGAGAGGCGAAGATCACCAGGAGCAGAGACTAGCATACCGGTTTGGACAGAAGACTAGCTGGATGGTAATGTCTTGCTACATAAAGGGAAAGTAGGGTATATCATTGCGTTGGTTTTATTTTGTGCATTATTCTACGTGCAATTCACATAATAATGTAAGTGAAATCTTAGGACGCATCCAAGAGCTTAATGCCAGTTGTAGATTTCTGACCGTAGGTTTGACTAGATGATGAGCAAGTTCTGCAGATAAATTGTATAATAGTTCCCCTTCCGTTCTTACTTACTTCTAGCGGAATATTCATTGCTCATTCTATTCAGCTTTCCCGATCTGTAACGGGCAAGTGTGAGGTTGGAAGTCTGTGCGCAGCCTTGTCACCTCGATATATTTATAATTATTTAGCAGATGGAATACCCTGAAGCCTCTTCTAACTGCTGCGAATAGTACAACTGCGTAACAACAAGGAACAGCAACTTTAACCTTGCTTCTCACATTCACAAATGAACGCAGTCATGTCAAGCCGTGTGATTGATCTGTCTTTGACTTCGATCCAGTCAGAGAGACTTCTAAGGATATGAGGTTCCTCTGCGGTTTACTTTCAGCGTCACTTACTGTGTGTTTAGAAAGGGACTCAAACTTGTTTTTTGTTTTCAATTTCAGTACCTGGCAGAGTGAGGGTGGCTGTAAGGCTTCGGCCCAGAAATGGGGAGGAAATGGTCGCTGATATGGACTTTGCCGACTGTGTGGAGCTTCAACCAGAGGTACATAATGTCATTGGCTCTTTTTCCCAGTACCAACTCTCATGCATTCTGCATTCTTGGAGTAAATAATTGCAAAAGAAATGCTTTTGGATTTCAAGGTGACAATCCACCATTGGTGTCCTCCTCTTCGTTAGACTCTTGTCTGGGATACCGTTAAATTCTTGCTGATGTGATTTCCACGGGTTAAGGATGGTTTCCAACGTTCTGTTCTGAATTATCATCTGTAATTGCAGCTGAAGAGACTGAAGTTGCGGAAGAACAATTGGGACTGCGAAACGTATCAGTTCGACGAAATCCTCACCGAAACAGCTTCCCAAAAGCGAGTCTATGAAGTTGTGGCCAAGCCAGTTGTGGAGGTAACTTGATGTTCATAACCGATTGTTTAGGTGACATGTGCTTTTCCTCAATATGATGGAGTTGTGCTTCGTTCTTCGTCAGTTGTAGTCAGTAACGTGACAACCGATACCCAGATCACTTACATACGTTGGGGAGTTTAGGATGCAGTAAACGAAAGACGTTACACATTTAAATTTCATCAATGCGCTAGTGCAGCTGAGCAGATCATGGACTTGAATTTTGCAAGTGCGATTATTTAAAATCTTCTCCCGTATATATCTTTGCCGAGTTGCGTTTGTCCCGTGTCAAATTTATACTATTCAGAGCTCAGCTCCCCGAGTCAGTCGGTTCTTCGAAAGGAAAACCTTTAGAGCAGATAGTCTCTAGATTTTGTTTGGGTTTTTTTAGTTCTTCCGGAAGTAGTTCAAGACGGGAACTTTTGGAGCTCATTGCTTTGTAATGCAGAGTGTACTGGAAGGTTATAATGGCACGGTTATGGCTTATGGTCAAACTGGTACCGGGAAGACTTTCACTCTGGGACGACTTGGAGAGGAGGACACAGCTGATCGAGGAATCATGGTGCGTGCCATGGAAGACATTTTGGCAAATGTATCCTCAGTAGACGACACCGTAACAGTCTCCTATCTTCAGGTATACATTTGCAAGCACCCGTACTTGCTGGTTTTTCCTCTGAATGTGTTGTCAAGTAGTCCCTTTTCTCGGTTTGTCTCTATGTACGTTTCTTGCATTATAATTAAAATTCCGGTCCTTCGATTACCCGACTAAGCTAAAACAAGCTGATGAACGGATTCTGTCGCTCCTAGTGAAGATCAAACGCCACACCTTTGCAGTTCCTTTTTCGAAAGTATCCATATTTGCTCCCTTTCCTTGAGGCCTACCAGCCATACAATTGGTCATTTGTATCTATTTATTACTAAGATTGTAGGTTGCATCCTAAATGTTTGTACGTCGATGTTCAAACAGCTGTACATGGAGACTGTGCAAGATCTACTAGCTCCCGAGAAGGACAACATAGCCATTGTGGAGGATCCTAAAACCGGAGATGTATCAGTACCTAGCGCTACACATGTTGAGTTACAGGATCAACGAAGTTTTGTGCGCTTATTGCAAGCTGGAGAAGCCAATCGTTTCGCTGCCAATACCAAGTTAAATACGGAGTCTTCTAGAAGTCATGCCATTTTGCTGGTAACTTTTCCGGAAGTTTTGATGAAGGTTTCTTGCATTTGAGTTTTAGTCCCTGGAGAACATAGGTCGTCGTTTTTTAGCACAGAGTGGAGAGAAAATCTATGTACTACCTAAGTTTTCTGTTCTCAAGTAGCCGCCTCCTCTGTTTAGTAGACGTATTTATCAGAAGTTTCGTACCTCATTCGCGAAACTACTAACGCTTATTTGTGATTCCAGGTCAATGTAAGAAAGGTCGTCAAACCGAAAACTGGAGACAGGGAGCTCATCGTTTTGAATGAGAATGGAGGTAGCCCCCAGGTGGGGAAGAACATACGTGCACCCACTGTCAGAAAAAGCAAGCTGCTGATTGTTGATCTTGCGGGATCCGAGCGGGTTGATAAATCAGGTAACGCTCGAGGTCGGCACTCGTCGTTTTTTTTGGATGTTATCTCTGTAGTTACAGTCTATCGTTATACTTGTTTGTCACCAGCCGACAGCAGTCGCGGGTTCTGTCTCACCGGTCTGAACGTGAGGTGACTGTCCACAGGTAGTGAGGGGCATACCCTTGAAGAGGCCAAATCAATCAATCTGTCTCTCACAGCTTTAGGGAAGTGCATCAATGCCCTCGCTGAGAACAGTCCACATGTACCTATACGAGATTCCAAATTGACCAGAATGCTTCGCGATTCGTTTGGAGGTGAGCCCTTCTATCAAAATATTGAATGATCATGATTTCATGATGTTCGTCTGCATTTGGTAGCATGTATGGGCTTTTGAAGTTAACTTATCAATGTGCACATAGTTTAAGTAGTGACAGATTACCGCCACCTTCTACAGGTCCAGGTTGCTGGATGTATATGATTCTATTTTTGGAAACCCGCTGACATACGTATACAAATCATGCCTTTTTGTTTGAAGTGTTTTGGATCCGACTGGGTTTTCTCTTCAGCCTTCTAGTATTGGTTTTTCTGCAACAGGAACTGCAAGGACCTCGTTGATAGTGACGATTGGACCATCGCCTCGTCATCGTGGAGAAACGGCTAGCACCATCATGTTCGGTCAAAGAGTGAGTTCTCATCGCCCTTTACACTTTGCGCGTGTTCTTTCATACTAGGTCATGTTAGATTCTTACTGCAGAATGATGTCTACATGAGTAAAGTCAGGAATAGTGGACAGTAGATGGACAATGTGGACGTCATTCACTACACCCTTGTCACAGTCGGCTTGAGAACATTGGAGTGGTGAGGCCCAGTGGTATTCAGTTGTCACAGAGAAAGTACTTGAAGCATGTTGATTTAGGTTATCTCGAATGTTCCCAATGTTTTTCTTTGTGGGTACATTCCAAGTTTATTTCTGTTTTATCCATGTGTAATTTTGTCTTTAGCGTCCTTGCGTCTTTCGGGTGTGTTGTTTATAAATGAACAATTCTTATGTTGATCAGTTATACGTTAAGAACACAGCGATGAACAGTACGAAACTAGGGAACCTGACCTGCAGTGATCTTCCATGCTTGAAACCTGAAGGCTATGAAGGTCGAAAACATGGTGAAGTTAAAAGAGGAGTTCGACTACAAAAGCCTTTGTCGAAGGTTGGAGACAGAACTTGATAGACTTGTCGCAGAAAATGAGAGACAGGTGAAGGCTAGGCAAGACGAAGAAGAAGAGAATGAGAGGAAGCTTGAGGACACCCGAGAGTGTGCTGCGGAAGCGGAAAGCAAACTCGCCGCTGCCATGGAGGTTGTGCAATACGACTTTTTAGTGACCTTAGTCGTTTTATTTGAGTTGAAGGATTCTGATTTGTTCATATGGTACTTAATTGCACTCATCGTCACTATTTTAACAGTTGCTGTGTCAATAGATCTGGCCTGAATCGTATGTCTAATCGCATCAATATAGTCGGAAACAGAGGACGCTGTTACTAGACCCCTGGTGTATGCATTGTTTCTATTTATCTACTGGTCTGCGGAAATCATATGCTGAACGAGAACAATGTTGGTTGATGTAGTCCATTGAGGCGGAGAGAAAGAAGTTTCAGCAGGATCTTGCAGAAGCACATCAAAATCTGGAGAAAGCAGAGAAGGAGTTGAAAAATATCTCTCAAGATTATCAGCATGAGAAGAAGGAGGTGAGGATCTCAAGGCTTACCCACTACATTTGGGATCGGGGAAGGTCTCATGGGCTTAGCGGGTAGTAACATTGAATTTACGACTCCTGTCATTTTCCGAATTCATCATCTCACGAGTCTTTCTCGTCTTTTCCCCTTCCCCTTCCCTGTTGCATAGATTCTTCGGAAAATGGGGGCAAAATAGCGTTCTCAAAGGAGGACTGAGGTTTCCGCGCTCCATGAATACCCCACGCCTTGTTCCTGCATAAGAATCTGCACGATCACTGCCTTGTCCATAATGAGCCGGACTCTTTACGGACGTGTTTTAATTAACACCTTTTGAGAAGCGTTTAACCCCCATCCCCATCCTCCCCATCCTCTCCCCTCCCTCGTTCCCCTCCTTCCCTACCCTCCCCGTTGTGATCCGCTTACTCTCTCTCCCCTCTCTTTCCTTTTTACCAAATCATATACCTCCACACTCTGCATCGAGAGTGAATTCTGAGAAGTCGATGGCCAGGGTGCTCAGGTCTAATCCCATGATGGTTGAAATTTCTCTCAGAGAAATTCACATGCAGAAAAGTTGAAGCTACAGAGAGACCTTACAGATGCTATGCAAAAGCATCAAAAGGAACTCACAGATGAGAAACAAAGGCAACAGAAGGAACTCGCGGACGCAATTCAGAATCTTGAGTTAGAACGTGGTCAAAGGAAAAGGTTGGAACAAGAGCTTAATCAGGCTACTCAAGAGCTTAATGAGGCTACTCAACATCTGCATGTTAAGAACGAGGTACGATCAAGGGGATCGACACAGGTACATGGAATGGATGTCGCACCCTTTTACTCTTACTTCATGTGAACGTCCCGAACGTGCTTATTGGCCACAAACGTTTGTCATTCACATCGAGTGAAATACCGAAGTTTCTCGGGCATAGTACTCGCTGACTCGCTGACATGTACTCGCTGAACATGTGGCTTTGTTTTTTAAGCATTATTGGATTCCAGTCCTCCGAATCAGCTTACTTTACATAAACTGTACTTGAGAGTCGATAATCTTGGTACAAGTTTTGTACTGAGGAATTCGTATGTGAGGATCTCACCGTATTCCAGCAAGTTCCTCTTAACCAGTTATTTACCGCGTTCACTGAGGGGTTTCCTCTTTGTTTGAGAGAGTGGTTCCCCGAAAAATGCTACTACCTTTCCCATGCCATTTGAGGGCTCCTTTTTTGGCTGTACTCTCGGCCTTCCTGGTTGAATTCGTCGGTGATTAAATGTAAAATTCCCATACTTTCCATAGTGGTAGGCTTACAGACCATATCCGCTGGGTATATCTTTGAGACAATACTGAGCCACTTACGAGACTCGTCGGAGAGAGCTAAACCTCTTTTAATGTGGTGCAGTCGCTTGAGCAAGGCAACGAAGTTCTGGAATTGAAGCTCTTACTTGAGAAAGAAACTCAGTTGAGAGAGGAATTGGAGCAGGAAATACAAACCTTAAAATCACAGCCACCCAAGCTGCCAAATGGGATTGAGGTATACTATGATTGTGGATACATTTTAAGATCAACTGAACAGATTCTAGTCCCCCGCAACCCCAGCCCTTATCGACTTCCTCTGAAAGACCACGAACACGATACTCATAGGCAAGGCTTTGATTGCTGTTGTCCTAGTTCGATTTACAGGTTGTTTTCCCGACGACTGTTTGTTTGATTTTGTTTCTATCTTTGCTTTTGGGCTTGTTTAAGGCAAAGCACAATGAGGAACTCCTCGCCCTAAGACGTAGACTGGATGAAGAGCTCAAACATAGGGAGAGGCTGGAAGAGGAGGTTCGAACTTTGAGAGAGCAGCTGACGGTGCTCAGTGACGAGGGTGAAGAGGTGTGTTTCGTCAGCCTCTCTTCAGTATGACAGCGACTTAGACTGAGTTCCTAAATTGATGTTCTCTGACGATTTAAATGTTTTTTTTGCAATTTTGCGTTTTCTGAAAGTTTTTCTCGCGCAGTCACGGAAGATAATCGACAAAGTAGGATCCGGGCGAAGTTCTGAAGGATCACAGAGCCCGAGCGTGCACAAGCCAACTAGTCATATGAGGGATACAATAAATGGTCAAAGAGCAACAATCGCAAAGCTTTTTGAACAAGGTGAAGGGCTTTTTCTTCTCTTGCTGTGTTTCATGGTGTCATCAGCTGGTGGGTTGCTGGAGCTGTTCACGCCTGTAACTGTTTGTACTAGATCGAAGGAGTTATTGGAGCAATATCACGATCTTTGACATTGGATTCTGAGTTTTTGGTTCATGTGCAGTTGGTTTGCAGAAAATATTGTCGTTGTTGGAGTCTGAAGATGTCGACGTCCGTGTACATGCTGTCAAGGTGGTTGCAAATCTTGCAGCTGAAGGTACAATCCGTCACGTTGTATTTTAGGTACTCCATGTCTAACGTTGTCGTGGAGTGGGGGTTATTATGATAGCTGAGTCTGAGTTTTTTTGTTTTTTTACGTTCTTCTTTGTCGCAGAGGCTAACCAGGAGAAGATCGTGGAGGCTGGAGGATTGGGGTCATTGCTTATGCTTTTGCAAAGCTCTGAAGATGAGACCATTCGTCGTGTGGCCGCCGGTGCTGTTGCGAATCTCGCAATGAATGGTAGTGTACTATTTATTACATACCTTGAAAGTACCTTTTCTGCTGCCAGATTTTTCTACTGGTCTGTCGTTGGGGACCTGCTTTTGGAATGTATTCTCTGATTTACAATTTTTAAGCGCTAATATTTTTAGTGGATCTGTAATTAAGGTGTGAGTTTGATCATACTTTGCCCGTTGGTTGGCATACAGAGACCAATCAGGAGCTGATAATGGCCCAGGGAGGTATTGGACTCCTAGCCAGGACAGCTGATGACGCTGAGGACCCCCAGACTCTAAGAATGGTTGCCGGTGCTATCGCAAATTTGTGTGGAAATGGTAATGTAGTTTAGCCTCGGTTTGTGTAAACAACTCATAGCAGTTCAGACAACGTTTACATTTTATAACCAGTTGGTTTGTTCGTCCAACGATCAACAAGGGAAGCGTTCTACCTGTTCTCATTTTCTGAGGGGAGGAGTGACCTCAAGATTGCTGTGCTGATTTTCTCCTTTCGTGGTATCAGACAAATTGCAGATCAAACTAAGGGAAGAGGGGGGAATCAGGGCGCTTCTTGGGATGGTGAGATCACGCCATCCAGATGTGCTTGCCCAAGTGGCTCGGGGCATTGCAAACTTTGCGAAGTGTGAATCACGAGGTGCAGCACAAGGTAACATCCAGACGGTTTATTTATATATGTACATTTTTTATCGAATGTTGTGTAGTTCGAATAGTTTAACTGAGAGAATGAATAGTTTAACTGAGAGAATGATTTAGAACCCTCAATCCGAAATTCGATGTCTGGACCCGTTTTTTAGAACTGTTGTTAATTGTTGCATGGACATCAATGTACCGCAGGTTATAAAACCGGGAGGTCTCTTCTGATAGACGACGGAGCTCTGCCTTGGATTGTTGCAAATGCAAACAATGATGCTTCACCAATCAGACGCCACATCGAACTTGCATTGTGCCATTTAGCACAACATGGTAAGACTATCAGAGTACTACTATACCAGCTATGGAATATTATAGATTGTTTATTACAAACAGTAGAACCATGTACGGATAGCTAAATGGGCACCATCAAAAAAAGGATGAAAAAGCAAAAAGCACGAACTGTAAACCGGAGTGGGGGAGGGCGATCCACAGGCTGTTTGGTAGTATACGTAGAAAGCCCTTATCGTGTGTTCAAAATATTAACTATGACAAGTAGTTCCTGTCAACGTGTAATATAAGCAGAGTTTAATCTGGTAAAAGGTGCCTTACTTACTCATCGCCTCTATTTCGACATCTGATGCCTTGCCTTCAAAGGCCATTCTGTCTGTCAGTGCTTAAGGATCTGTGAAGTGAGAACTTAGTTACTAATTCGCTTGCTCATATATTTAACAAGTTTTGTGCTGCTAAATTGCTGCAGAAGTAAATGCAAAGGATCTAGTTGCAGGAGGTGCACTGTGGGAGCTGGTGCGCATATCTCGTGAATGTTCTCGAGAGGACATTCGCAATCTTGCTCAGCGCACTTTAAATGCAAGTAACACTTTTCAAACAGAATTGAAAAGGTTACAGTTGGTCTACTAAAAGTTTCAAAGTTAGGGAAGTTAATGTTATTTATTTCCAAATCTGACTTTACATATGTGTGTTCAGTCAGAGGTGGGTGTAAATTAGAGATTTAGTGAATGTTCACCTTGACTAATTCTTTTGTATCATTCTGACAGTCCGTGCTCTTACACAGTTTAACACAAAGCACACCTCACTTTTCCCGCAGCCAGGCCTCTGTCTTGTCCTTTTTAGTGTAGCACATCTTGCGACGAAGTAAACCATTGCTAACAACGGTTTATATGGCTTGAGTTGTACAAGAGTCAAAAACTGACAGCCATGGACGTTTCAATAGAGGACAAGCCATATGCTTCCTCGGAAGTTTGAATCATCTCTGTGTTGTCGGTTCAATTTTCACCAAGGCTAACAAGCAGATTCAGTAGAGGGTTTAAATACAGAACGAACTGGCACGCTGATTCTAATATTTCACGAGGCCGTAGCTTTTTGTACTGGCCTCTTGTTTCAAAATAGTGTGATAATTGGAGTCTAATAAAGGTCTGTAAACATGCGTAGCTCTTGCTTTGCCGTGCTTATACAATTATTGTGAATCCCAGAGAAGTGTGTAATTGTCAAGCTATTCGCCACTCAGGCGTTTTACTCGAGCTCAGAGAGGGGTCTTTGTAAATAGTTGATTTTGCTCTTACAGATCAAATTACTAATTCGGGCAAATTTGCCGCCTCTTAGGTTTGGAAATTTTGAAGGCATGTGTTCAAACATTGACTCAAGCTCGCGTCTCGTAAGGACAGGAACCTGAGTGGGCATCTTACCTATTGGAATGCTCGCTCTTGAAGGCCCCTACAATTATGTAGCTTTTATGTACTGTTCACAGAAATCACGATTGATGCGATAGACATGTGACAAGTGCCTTCTGGATTTGTATGTGCCTCTGAAATCACTGCAAGGGCTAGAACACTAGTGGAATTCATGAACACGTGCATTCTACACCCAACATCAGTATACATTCACATTAAGGAAGTTAATGGTCACTCAAGTACATTTGAAGGACGGCACGCTGAGAGGAGGTTGAAGGACTTAAGATGGCTGTTAGGACACTGCCATGAAATTAATGTCGGAACACTAAATGAATACAATCTGCGTTCATGCCTCGCCAACTTTGACGAGATCATCACTAAACTCTCATTAGCATCGAAATGCCGGAAGAGAACGAGATGGGTGGTGTATCTCTATCACGTCAAAAGACAATTTACTTACCAACAACAATCTGGAAGTCATGATTTGGCTCGGCCATGGCTTGTCTGAAAGATGTGTAAGGGGATCACTTGAAAAGTGAGACATCCACTTACAGAGCAGCAGGATCAAGGATGCTTGCATCGGCAACAGCAGCAGAGTTCCTTCCTTCGGTCGGAACGAACGTGTGATAAAAGAGCAGTTGCAGATGCTCGTATCCTGCAGTTGTAAACCCACTTGTTGTCAGTATGAGTCACATAATCTGACTATCGAGATTGAAGCCAGAGGAGTTTCGTAAGAGGAACCAGCGTCGACTCCTTATGGGGCTGGAGAAGACACCTATGTGGTGTACCTTTGTGGTGTGCAGTTCAGTTGGCGGACCAGAACTTACCACAGCGTAGAGCAGTATAATTGATGTCACCAGCTACTTGGTCTTGGAACTTTTTTTCAACCTCTTGAATCATACAAACGCTGTCGGTAGAGACTTTCCGATATAACAACATATCAGCAGTTATTGAAGGTTCATCAAGAACAAACAATTTACTTGTTTTTGTTTTTCTTGATTGACCTCCAATCTGGTGTAAATATATCGATGAAGTAATTTAGAATACCAACAATTCTTTTATTTCATCATATTTTTTGAAGAGTTTAACATAATTCCCCTTCTCAAGGTGTCGAATTTTGCATGAAAAGCTGAACTGAGCCCCTGCAGAAAATCCGTTATCAGTCCAAACACCTGAATGATCTCTAGGAAAGGTCAACCATGCCTTTATTTAAAACTGTCCATACAGATATCACATCTCATTCCTCTATTCATGCCACGAGTTCAAGGAACCTTAAGTCGCTTTTTCTTCTAGTATAAACAATGCATGAGAGCTACTTCTAGTACACGGATACCCAAAGGTACACACCGGCCACTCTTCACAGTAGCCAGCCTGCACATTTTGGAGGATATACACATTTTAGTCTTACCAATGGAATTTAGTTTGGAATATCAACGAGCAAACTTGAAACACCTTTGCATGATTTACTCCTAGGTCTTCGCTTTCAGACGGATTTAGTATTCCGGTACTATGAGAATAAGATGATTAGAAGACTTACTGGGCCAATGGCATATACTGCTTGAATTGCACCGCTCAACAGAACACACAAAGGTAAATATTCTTATCTGGATTCAAATTAATTACACTGAAATTTCTAGACCGATTATGTTCTTAAAGTGAAAAGGGAGACGCATGAAATTTTGTTTTTCAGGTTGGAGGCGAGCGTCTGATGTACATCGTTATTTTAGGTGCCAGAACGTCTTCTCATCTGGAGGATAGTGTGTGCAGGTGAACGAGGCTCTACCACTATAGAAAAGTGCCATCAGATTTACCTTCGAGATCAGTAGCCAACGCAGGCTGAATCGTAATTGCTAGGTCCTTTTTCTCTGCGAGTTTTCACAAAGCATCCATAATTCTGAGGCTGGTTCTACGTACCATGCAGAAACTTCAACACTCCACGGAAACTTCAACACTCCACGTATTGAACTAAACGTTCCAACAGTTCAACGCCAGCGAAGAGGGTGGGGGCTGCTGCCTGTTACGCTAACTGAACGTCATATGCAAATTCTCAGTTATATAGTGTAAATTTTGTGGTACTCGAGGTCACTCCAAGAGTACGTACGAGACTCGTTGTCTGAGCTGATGTTGCTTTGAGACTTAAACTACTCTATTACTGAAGGTTCTTTTAAGTATGGGTACATCTTCCCCATTTCTTCCGAGTCGAACCCGAACGGGTCTCGCAATCTTGCCTGAAGTAGCGTTGTCCTCATTGTTTAAATCGAATCTTCACATCTTTCCTTTTTCCAGGCTCAATGACATCCAACAGTTGGTGCTTTACTAAAACCCCCTAAATTAATAGACGTAGATAATAAATAATGAGACCAAATCAAGCCTTACAAAGAAGAAAATAGACGAGTATAGACCCAGGGCTAACCTCAATAATGGCACAGCACTTGATATAAATTATCCATTAGGTTAACCTGTCTACAACATAAGTATCCGACGCCTCATTAACTTACAGGAACGGTCTACTGTATATCTCATTACTTCTAGTACTTCTCGTTAAGGTAAAAATTAAGTGAAAATATTTTACTTGCTTATATATATATATATATATATATATATATAAGTTTTACGATATGTAAGGGATTTGATACTATGCTGCAAAGTGTAGTATATTCTTAGTCACTCTCTCACTAACCTATAGAAGTCCATGACTTTATATAACTACGATGTCAAAGGAATAAAGAGTTGAAATCATACTACTCTGTACATACTCATGTACTTCTAGATCTTGGTCGGCGAGCTTTCATCCAGCCATGTAATATTAAATTTCAGCAAATCTTCCGATTCCGTGGACGGTGGAAAATCATATGATAAATTACCATCAAAGCACCAATTTATTGTTCTGAAACCAACAATAGGATGTCCAAAACCCGAACATAGTGTAATAAGTGTAACAATTTTACGCTTATTCTCTGAAGAAAATCACTTTGAAGCTGATGGCTTTAGGAATGCAGACAGTTTACGAACCAGACTTCGCATGGCTTCGATTCCTGGTCCCCCATTCACTCATTGTCCCGTGAGTTTTCAAATCGATTTCATTCATCCTGTGGCGAAACATTTGTCGTAAAAAATGAGACAACGACAGTCTTTTCAATATGCACAAGAGAACAACAGAACGTGCAGGATTGTTACGCAATTGCAGCCAGATTTTGAGAAACCATACCGTTAGGGGAAAACATAGGGCCCAGCCAAAATGGCTGGCCCAGGCAGGAGTTGAACCCGCTATCAAAGTTTATCGTCCATCGTAGCCGGAAGCCGGATTTGAACCCGGTACCCAGCATTTCAGGTCGAAGCAAGGATATAGACAGCTACTGAGCCTTTCATGCCATGGACGAAAACAATAATACACTTAAATAATTTTCCTGAATGGAACTCGTAGGGACAGTCACTTCACGGTAAGAAGATATATTTCAGCAATGTGAGTAATTCCCCACCGGAAATGTTACGTCACTTGATTGGACAACGCTAGTCAGCGCATTGAGCCCCGTTCGTTGACTCCTCGATGGCTCACTCCATGAATGGAGCGACTGGACCTAACAAAAACCTTTTCTTTTCTATGGACCACTTCATCGGTGAGAGAGCCTGTCGACGACACGATTGCAGCCTCATGTCCCTTCCACAAGATCCTACTGGGAAATTCCTAAATACCTAGTGTTTTGATCAAGTAACTAGGTACTCTTAATCTAGTGTAACGATGATAATATTATCCTAACTAGTAGGTAAGTTTATAATATCGCTAAGGTGGAATTGTAAGTATCTAATGCTATGAACATTTGAAAGAAGAACTCAGTGTAGCGAAATGAAAATATATCATCGCTAGGGTGGAATAGTAAGTATCTAGTGCTATGAACATTTTGGAAAGAAGAACTTAGTGTAGCGAAATAAAAATATATCATCGAGCCCTATATAGCTCACCACTTATGAATTGGTGGATTTCTTGCGATGTACTTCAACTTATGAAAATGATTATTTCTTAAAATTAGTATTGAAAAATGCATCTCAGTATGACAAAAAATTTACGTATTTTACCCAAGATTTATTTCATAGCTAGTTGGAAACACGATTAATTGTATTGATGTGTAATAAAGGATCTAATGTTCTATGGATAGTAATTTTAGTCACGAAGTAATTCAAGGTGTTATTGAAATCGGGAATGAGATGCATGAAGGCAGAAAAATAAAAAGACAGGGAAAGAAATTATGAGACCAATGAACGAGATCTTGCAACCATGAAATTTTCATGCAATTCATTAAATTTCGCTTTCATGGAGTGTTCAACAATTACCAGAAATTCAACATCGCGGAATATTACTATTTTGGAAATTTGGAGTTAATTTCCATATAGAAACTTATGAACAAGTATTGAAAGATCCATCAAACCATACAAAAGTAAACCCAATATGCTAATCAAAGTGTCGATGGCGCGCGTTCAATAACATCATAAGTGTTAGATATTGATTCACTCCAGTTGGTCTAACTATGGCGAGTTAAAGTAGGTCAGACATTCCTATGCAATACAGCTGGTGAAAACATTCCATAACACAAACGGAAATTTTTAATAAAAGATTTATATATTCGATGAAAATAAATTTGTTGATATGATCCTTATATTATTATATACTCTATGTTGGACAAAATATGGTACTGAGTGAGTAATATCATGCATACAAGCACAATTGATGTCTTCTATGAGAATTGCGTGCCGGTGATACAAGATACAAACGTAGATGTTCTTATACAATATGCGTTGCGGATTTGTTTTGACAAGAGTAAGAGAAAAGGTTGAGCATGTAAAAACATTCGAGCATTCACCAAGTTCATCTTATTGATCTTCATTTACAACGGCGCGAGGCTAGTTTCGTCAGCATGCAAGAGTAAGTGATATAATTGCGATTGTTGAAAGAGATTTCATCTACCGTGCTAGATTACTAGCTAGTGCATTAATGCTCGAGCTTTTCCTGCACGTGAAAAGAGCATGAATTTGTCACTATCTGGGAAGCAAGGTCAGCCTTTTTTGAACCTCAAGATGCTTCAAGACAGTTGATAATTATTGGTGATTGATTTACAGTATCATATTCAAGCAAGCTTTTAGTCAATATGGAAAAATATCAAAGATACTAATTGAAGCCAGTTTGTACGAAAAGAATCAAATTTTTATTTAATCGAAGTTAATAAACTTGAGAAGTCACTGTTCTCTTATTTATTAGATTTTGAACTTACATCATTGTTTGATGTGATCAATATGAATCTCATGACATGTTCAAAAATAGAAAATATTGCAATAACATCAAATTAGAAGAATAGTTGACTGATTGCTAACTGATGATCAAATAAAAAATATAAAAACCCTAGTAATACTCAATGCATTGAGAAAATAAAAATAATATTGTAATTTGTGAAAGTCAAATAGCTATTTATGTATGTCTAGTTCTTTTGTAGATGTTTCACTTGTGAATCAAACTATGATGAATATTCCAATGTATTTACTTGATGAAACACATCTGATCCTTAAGTGCTTACTAATAATCTTTAAGTTTCGTTTTAACCAATGGGACCATTCCAAAGGTACATGTCATGCATGTTCTAGTATGAACACATAGTGGAGATAATGGAACTATGACAACGACGCTGTCTCGTTGTCCTCATTGAATCGCTCAAATTTCCACTCAATACAATCTAACGTGGAGATTTCTTCATCCGAGACTTCTCTATTGCACCAAAATTTGTAAAATTAAATGCATTTTGAATTCACATGAATTCAAAGGAAATTCACAAGTACTTCGCTTACTTCCTTGTGAATTTCCTGCATAGATTCCACACGTATGTTGTTGCTCACCGAGTCTAATTTTCGACCGTTCAAAACCCAAAACCTCTGCGCACTTGTGACAATCTCTGTCACAATTCATTTTTTTGAGATATGCAATCATAGAGTTTCATTAAAGTTCTTATATGATGCGATCTTTAGTCTTTAGTATCAACTTTCAGAAGTTGGCAAGAATGTGCCATCGATGGGGTCCCATAAGGTAAAACTAAACTTGATGGCTCTCATCAAGCAATTTAGGTTCTGATAGGGTTCCATCAAATAAATAACTTTGAATAAACCAACATTGAAATAGTGTCATACAATTTGTGCATAAGATTTGTTCACAATTTTTCTTTAATAAACAATATTGATCAAAATAAATTACTTTTCTCTCATTTAAACATGATTTGAGTGAAAATTCTTATTAACAAGCTTCACCTTCTTTTTTTCTTTTGAAGACTAATATATGTGTACTTAGTGGAAAAATAAGGTACAAAAGAATCACAAATTTAAACAAAAAAGCCAGACAATTATTATATTGAGCTTTCAAAAATTTGCAAGTATGATTTGACTATCTTGATATTCATGTTGAATTGTGGATAAATTTAATTATTCATAAATCTACAATTTATTGATAATAAAATTCAAAGATTCACAAAATGTTTTTTTTCTTTGTTTAAAATATTCTAAGAAAAAAATGATTTTGTGAGAGTTTGAGAATGGAGAACAAGACAAATATAAGTATTTTTGTGAAATTAAGAAATATCATAGTGTATATGAATGAAATTTACAAGTTAATGGACGATCAACAAATTACATGGAGATATATGATTATTAGTTCTATAGATATCTGTACCAAATTGGAATATAAACAGTTTATTTCTACTTACCTAACACACCTCTTTCCACATAAAACGGAAAACTATTCTGTTAAACATAATACTCTCCATTCCCCTCTTTCCGGATTGTAGGATAAGTATATCCAGTCAAGGGTCAAAGGCTGAAAGTAGAAAGAAGACAGCAAAGTTGGCGGGAACCAAATGATGAGTAACGCATGGCTCCCAAAACGCGACACGTGGAAAGATACAGCAGAGACGAACGCAGTCAAGCAGGGTCGGAGCAACGCAGTACAGCGAGGAGCAAACGGGTTTTGTCGTCCTCTGGGGACCCCAACTCGGACTTCTCGGTGTCTGCCATTCTCCAATTCTGCCACCTCGGCTTCTCCTCCAACACGTTCGGGGGTTTAGTGATCTTGAATCTCGAAGCGAACTGCAGATTGCTTCTCCCGTCACTCTCTGAGAATTTGTGCTGTCGGGCCTAAAGTTTCCTCCTCTTCTTGATTTTTCTTCTGCTTCGGCGGAGAAGTTCAGACTCCATCCCTGAATTCCGAGGATGTTTCAATCACTGGCGTGGTCTGACCTTCATGTGTGCAGATTTTTCTCATGTGCATTATGAAGTGGATTGTCGGGGCCTGGAGTGAATCTTCCTTGTGACCGAGCGGTTCCTTTCGTCGCCTGCATAGAATTTCAGAGTGCTGTAGGCCAGAAGTTCACTAACCTGCGCAGGGGCTTTATGCGTTTAGGTTTTGGGATTGTTTCAGAGCTTCAATCCGCAAACGGGTTTGAGTGACGACGAACGATGACGAGCCGGGGGAAGAGGCCGGTGGAGGTGGAGGATGAGAGTGATGATGAAGATGCGAGAGATGACCGAAATGAGTTGCCTCGAGAAGCGCCCAAAGCGCAGGCGAAGGCTGCATTGGGGTTCAAGAAGAAGCTAAAGCCTGATAATGTGATTCTCGCCTCCATTCGAGAATTTTCGGAGGCTTCGAAGAAAGCGACGGTTGAGACGAGGACTTTGGCGGAGCTGAATCTTTCTCACGCTTGCAAGGAAGTCGTTGATCTCAGTACAACGGATGTTCTTTCCGAGATTGAGAAGACTATTCTGCACATCGCGCAATCTATTCTCAATGGGAAGGGGTTTGGTTACAATATCCCTGCAAGAAGCAGTGCGAATCAGCTCTATGTCCCAGAGTTGGATCGCATTGTGCTCAAGGACAAGGCCACCTTTCGTCCTTTCGCCAACATGTCCAGTGTGCGGAAGACCGCCATCACCACCCGCATTTTGCAGCTGGTGCACCAGCTTTGTCAAAAGCGAATTCATGTGACCAAGCGAGACCTGTTTTATACGGATGTGAAACTGTTCGTGGAGCAGACTCAATCTGACAGCGTCTTGGATGATGTGTCTTGTATGCTGGGTTGTACTCGGTCCAGCTTGAATGTGGTAGCATCGGAGAAAGGCGTAGTTGTAGGAAGGCTGATTTTTGTGGAAGACGGAGATACTATTGACTGCACGAAGATGGGTGTGGGTGGCAAAGCGATCCCTCCAAACATCGACAAAGTTAAAGACTTTGTGAGCGATGCCCTTTTCATTCTTCTAGTTGAAAAAGATGCTGCCTTTATGCGTCTAGCCGAAGATAGGTTTTATAATCGCTTTCCCTGCGTAATTATTACAGCAAAGGGACAGCCCGATGTTGCTACTCGTCTTTTTCTCAAGAAAATGAAGACGGACTTGAAAATTCCTGTGTTAGGTCTGGTTGACAGTGATCCATATGGACTTAAAATTCTATCAGTCTATCTGAGCGGCTCGAAGAACATGTCTTATGACAGCTCAAATCTGACCACCCCAGACATCAAATGGCTAGGAGTTCGGCCCACCGATCTGGACAAGTACAAGATTCCCGAGCAGTGCCGATTGCCGATGACAGAGCAGGATATAAAGACAGGGAAAGATTTACTAGAAGAGGATTTTATCAAGAAAGATCCGAACTGGATTAAGGAACTTGAATTGATGGTGAAAACGAAGGAGAAGGCTGAGATTCAAGCGTTGAGTAGTTTCGGATTTCAGTACCTTTCCGAAGTGTACCTGCCTCTAAAGATTCAACAAAGAGACTGGATTTAGCCTCTTACTTTTACGGGTTAAATTCCTGTGTGGAGGTTGACAGCTGAACGCGCTTTCCGGTTCCTTTACTCCAGTGCATGGAGAGAAGTTTATGTCATGGATGTTCAGTATTTCTCTTATGTTGGGGGAAAGACAGGTAAGATCATGTAGGTGGGAATGAATGTCACATGCTCTTGTCTTTCTGTGATGAGACACCACATTTTCTCAGTGGTGCAATCCGGTCTCACTGTTTCCCCAAATGAGAAACAATATGCATGCTCTCTTTTACTTGAAACGAGGATGTAAAACGTAGCTATACAGTTTACTCACCTTTTTGGGTTGCTTCCAGCGCTTTCAAGCAGATAGAGAAATTTGAAACGAATCTTGAAATTCTTTACTGGGCTGGACTTGCTTTTCAGGTATAGGTCTACAGCCATCCATTCAGATAACCATCATCAGCTCACGTAACGAACAGGAGAGAAATCTGTGTTGAAGGTAGTCGCAGTCCCTTCACTTACTTTGTGGGCTTGCCGTACTTCGTGTTCTCGACTTTCCTTGTCATTACCATTGTGAACAGTGTATAATGTTTTGTTCTGATGGTCCCTTGCCAGGGGGTTCTGAAAACAGTCAAACCCTGTCAATTGCAGTCGACATCTCGTCCCGAATAGAGGGCGGGAGTTTTTGGCTTCTAGACCTGTCTCATAACCTGATGTTCTAATATGGATTATCTCATGCAGTTTTTGAACCTCTGCAATGAAGTCTACATGATCAAACATGTGATTGTCTCCAACTTTGGCTCCTCATTTATTTTGATATTTAAGTGACTCACGGAGGATAGGAAGACAGCGTTTCTCCATATGGAGATACGTAAAGCATGTCCCTCAGACTAGGCTCTGAAGAGCTCAATTCGTTATCTCAGGCTGTTTTACTACGCTGAACTAAGTTGATCAACTACAGAAATCACTTTCTATTGAATTGCTATTGTCAGCTCAAACTCATGCATCTCTGCTCTTGTCGGAGGAGACAATAATCTTCACATTCGAAACAGAGAACAATATTCCTGCAAGAGGAACGAAGCTTTCAATGGATTATCCCTGTGCCGTCACTATCAGCGAACCCTTCCACGTTTCTTCTCATGTAGTCCTTTGTTTTAGATGATTTAAGCCGTAGAGAGTACACACGCGTATGTTGCTTCCGCGACTTCAGGAACGTCCCATCTTCACCATCTACCTACACTTGAAGACGTAAGGGTTCTAGATGCAGAAGAGGACGGAGGATGCGAAGCACATCATCTATGGTTCTGGACACAAAATTATGTCTGAAGTTCTAGTCTTCTTCGTCAATTGACACGTGTAAATTTGTAAGAAGACTTTGATCAGGACTATCAAAACTAATCGAAAATCACTGTACGATGAAATCACTTCACATCTCTCGTCAGCCTAAAACAGAACCATAGGTCTAAACTATCAACCAGGCCCATGGGATATGTACGAACGGCTTATTGTATACATGATACAAAAAGGGTACCAAATCATACAACTTGAGGAAAAACCAGCTTCTCAGCTTGAATGGGTCAAACATTTAGAGACAAGTAGATGCGCTTGCAGACGGCGTACTAATTCTTTAAGCCCAAACGCAAGTGAGGCGTGCCCACGGATAACATGAATCCAAATGAGGCTACAGGAATGTCAAGGACAAGGAAAAGGATGGACACTCGGCAAATGCCCAGATCCTTTTAATTTCACTTCTACTTCGTGAAGATCGAGTATCGGCTCACCATCCCATGAGGAGAAACGCGATGCGAACATCATATAAGCTTCAGTTGTCACTGCGTGCAGATTGCAGTAGTATTGAAGTGATGATCCCCCAACTTTTGTGCAAGTGATTGAGGCGCAGACATGAAAGCGTAATTCGTGCCATACATTTGGCACGAAGTTGGCGAACTCAACTGTCGCAGCTCGCAACTGAAGCTGCACTAATACCAGGCTACGTGAGAAGGTAAGCAGTTCTTTTATACATTTGCAAAGATAGGCCAGGCATAACACTTACTTACATGGTTTGAAATCCAGAATTTTGTCTACTTGTCTGGGTCAGGGTTACTGCCAGACGAATTAGGGCTGAGACCGGAAGGTCATTTCAAGGAATGTGGATGATGTGATAAGGAACTCTGTCAGAGCCTTTCCGATTCTACAAGTTCGAAATTGCAGAATAGAGTGCTTTAGAGTTTTCTGCACTAGTGCTGTAGAGCTTTAGTGCTAATTCTGCAGAAAATGACTAGTTGCAGTGCAGAACTATGCCCTCGCTGACTTTCTTTCAGGCATTGAACCACGACAAGTCTACGCAATCAAACTTTGTGTCAGATAAGTCTAACAAATGCGCCGCAATCTTCACATATCATGGACTACGAGGTATCATTCCCTCCACGAGAGCCTCAAAGGAAAGATGTCATCGAGTCGTTTCACATAAATTTTAGATAAAGTTTATTTTTGTGGCTTGAGTGACATCAAAGGGATTCGTGGCGCAATGGTAGCGCGTCTGACTCCAGATCAGAAGGTTGCGTGTTCGATTCACGTCGAGTTCAATACTCGGAACTTCCCCCAGCAAGCATTTTGCGTAATCCTTTCGATTTTTGTCGTCGAGTTCAAAGCTCGGTACTCTCCCTCGTTTTCAGTCTAGTGAAATCCTTTCGACTTTTGGTTGTACCAGGCGAGGTACGACGTTATCTGTCATGAAAGCCTGCCCTCCGATAAAGTTGGAAACGAGAACATAAAAAGGCAAAGTCATGATTTTGGATTGGATGTTGAAGCCTGCCGGAAATCGTGGCGCGATGATGATCCGGCTGACTGCAAATCGTAGGGACGCGAGCTCCATTTAGGTCGAGTTCAGTTTTCAGACCAGAATTCATCCATCGTCGATGAGTTGTGTAATTTGTTGTGTAAATTTTGCCGAAGCACATACGGAGCTTTAGTTCAGGCCTGCATGTCGACAAGAGAGATTACGTTTGCGATGGATCTTCGAAAGTTCTTCGAAGCGATTGATCGGCTTAGAATACTGTCGTCTTGTAAGTTGGAAAGACGGTGAAAAACCTGCAATCGCCGGTGTACCGAGGTGTGGCAGGAGTGGGTGAGGATTTATCCATCAGAATGTGAGATAACACCAAGCGCCGAAAGCGCAAACGAAGAAGCTCCAGTTCCGAAGGAGGGTGAGGAAAGGCCTTCCAACTATTTAATCAGATGATGGGCAGACAATTGCAGTTTCATATCAAAGCATTGAATTGGTGCTTGGATTAAAACAACCACCCACAGAAACGAGGACGCCAAGAATCCATGTTCTGAAGAAACTATCTGAAGAAGAAGAAGTATAACTGTATACTTTAAACAATTACAAGTAATAATTATTGTTTATTGAGAGTAGTGGACAGCCTGCATCGGTGGTCTAGGGGTAGAATAGTTCCCTGCCACGGAACAGACCCGGGTTCGATTCCCGGCCGATGCACCTTTTCGTCCACATTGGCTCTCCGGACTAGAAATGGTTAAATTGTTAGCATAAGGAAAGTGATAGTTTTGTAGCTAGCTATGTTGAAATGCCAGTTCTTGTAACCTGGTAACTTAGTATTAACTTACAACATGTCAAAACTTACCTACTAACAAACTTGGCTTTGGATTCCCAAGTCCACCAACTTCTTCACATGCTAAAAAATGGCTCCAGAGAATCAAATCCATGAGTAAAAACCAACACAAAAATCCGAATTTGGTATTCAAGTGCTAACAAAACTATCTCACATTAGCAGTCAATCTTCTTGTTTTGGCCCTGCACCATCCGATGATGAAGGTTCTCTATCTATCTCACGATCACTTTCATAGTCGCATTGAAATTGAAATCTGAATCTGTCGTATTGGAGTCGAACGGATCATCAGAAAAAAAACTTTGCTCTATCATATCTACAAGATATGATAGAGCAAAAATATGTAAAGATTCATGACACATTATGATAACAAGAGAGTAAAGTAGATTAGTTAGCATTAACAATGATAAAGATGTTGTTATACAGCTTGGATTACATAAATTCCAACAACACAGTTAAAGAGATTGTATAGCATTGGTTATTCATGTAACCTTGAAAGAGAATATATATAGAAAATGATATGGATGATGATATTGGCCAATGATGAAATATATTACACGAAGTATTAAAAATGTGCAATTATTTTTATTTATTATATTTAATTCTTACAAATTCTTTGATGTTGAACTTTGTTACATTAGTGGAGTGAAATAATATCTCATAAATTTTACATATTACTTTACATTCTACATAATAGCGATAACTTGTAAAGTTATCGCTTAATTTTATAGATCTCACTAACAATCTAAGAAGATAGTATCTCATACATATTACGTGTAAGAGTATAACACTAACAAACAAACGGATTGATGAATTTTTATGATTTTTTTCACTTTAAATACTTTTGACCTTTAACTATAGAACATGTTCATTGTTGATGAGTTGCTTTCTACCAAAAATTTTAATCTATACAGAAGAATCAGACGTTGTAGATATGTTATTATCTACTATCAACTTTAATTCATATAAGAGAATCATGGATTTTTCATGATTAGCTCTCTACTAACACTTATGTACTTGTAAGCAAACCTCATAAAATTAGTCAAATGACTATTTTAACTAAATTTCCGGAATTTAGTCATTTTTTCAAAATGAAATTAGTAAAAATAGTTATTTTCCCTAAAAGTGCCATATTTTTTTACTGAAGTAATCTAAAACACGCAAAATATGGTAAATTTGGAGGAGTATTCACTTTTGATGCAACATCTTAGGGCATTGGAGAATGAGTTCCAGCGAAAAATTGGTCAAAGAATGACAAAAATTGTCCTTCTCCCATTTAAGAACGGAAAAATCAGACTCAATAGAGGCGGTATTTGGAAATATTGAAGCAAGGCCGATCGCCAATGAACAAAGGTCAAGATCTTCAGAAGCGATGCCTTCAATGCCCCACGCTTCGTTAAAATTTGTTGTTACAGGGTCACAGGAACGAGATAACATAGACTTGAACCAAGGTTGTTTCTCACACCGTAAATTCAGCGCGCGATGTTGAGAGCAAATCTCTTCAATTATTTTGTCGTTTCAGGTGACAGAAATCCGAGCATGATGCTGTTCAACGAGTTCAATCAATTTTCTGGGTCGCATTTCTACAAATTTCTGAGGAAGTGTGGGCAGAGTCTTGTTCACAGAGCCGCAATTGAATTCATCGCGCTCAGCTCGGACGTCATGTAGACCAATGATCAAAGTGCTGAACATTTCAGCAACGTTTTCAAGAATCTTATCGATTTCTTCAGGCCGTAATCCCCTCATGAAATGAAAGACGAACAGGTCTTGGTCAGTCACAAATCCGTTGAGTTCATGTTTCAAATAGCTAAAGCCATTGCATTGAATTACGTCTTCAACATGACTAGACTGAGTATACACCTCTACCACCTCCTCAGCAAATGCCAGCTTGCAGATTCGCTTGATACATTCTTCGATCTCGAACGACTGCTGACCTAAAAGGGCTTGTTTCCCCTGCAGGCGTTGAGCTGCCTCATAGATGTCTGTCGCAATAACATTGACTGCAGCTAGATATATCCAAAAGAAAGTCGACGGTTTGCTTTTACGTCCATCTGAGCTAAGCTCTTGATAATGCTCCAAAATTTCAGTTTGATGTTCAAGAAGATAAGATAAAACACGAGACATCGAAACCCAATGGATTCCAGAGAGCACAGGGCAAGTTGATTTCAATAAGTCAATCAATGTCTTTTGTCGACATAAATGCGAAATCATACCGTTTAATGCCGGATAAAACTGGCCGTTATCAATTTTACGTAAGAGCTTTTGCATCACAAGGTCAAACTGGTGCAAAGCACATGAAATTCGGGCAAATCCGGATAGACCGACGTTCGCAATACAAGTAACCAGCCCATAAATACGGCCTGTCATGTTTGCATCATCATCCGTTGAACATGCAATAAGCTTAGACTTCCTGTTAATGCATAAAGCATTGAAAACTGTTTTAATCACGTTGAACATTGCAGAACCTGTATGGCTTCCAGAAAACGGAATTGCAATAAGATGGTAATTCAGAAGTTTGCCGCTGGAGTCAAGCCGAACGCGAACATCAATGTAAGAGGTACTTTGACAATTTGATCCATCAAATGCAATTGCAAAGGCTCATGCTTCATATAGCAACTGCGAAATATTTTGGAAAGCAATGACACAAACCACGCAAACGTTCTTCGCTACAATCAAGTCATTGCAATAGCCGAGCTGGACACAACTCTTCACCATTTTTGCATCTTGAATTGCAAATGCTGCCTAACAAAACAAAAGTCCTCTTCCCACAATAAACGTGGTCAGTTAGTATTGTTTCACCTGTTTCACTACAACCTTGTACTTTTCGGAGACTTCGTTGAGACGAAAAAAGAGAAAAAGCATTCGATTTGAAATGATCGCTATCAACATCGTTAGGATATCAAAGTATTCCTTCGATAATAATTTCAACAATGGCTTTGTGTAAGATGAAGGTCAACTGAACTGATTGGTTGTTGAAATAAAAAGTAATCGTTTCTGCTGCCTTGACAGTGACATCGAAGAAATCCTTTCTCTCAGCATATGAAAGGGATTGGAACTGAGC